GTGTTTAATATAAACGATGATAGCCATTTAAAAAAAATCTAGAGCAATATGTCTATAAACAGTTTTAGAATCAATAGAATGGACATTCACAATGTGTATTTGGCTTGTGTCCAAATGTGTCACGTTTAAGACCGGCAAGGCGCTAATCCTACGACCTATAAACAGTCGCTTTCGAGACATCTGTTTAACAAAATTTATACCATGTCCATATCAGAACACTTCATTGGCATATTATAAGCATATTATAAATATCAGAGCCACAACAGAAACGTATGCGTGAAATAAAACTACGCCCGAACCGGCGAACCCCGAGAAAATAAAAATATTTCAAAGCGTACAGTCATATGTTCTCGTTGCTTGATTTCCTGAATTTTCTGTTGCCATAAGAATCTGCATTTTAGCATGTTTGTATAATTTAAAAGCAAACAGAAACCAATTTAGCAAGTAGTTTGAGGTATATATAATTCTTGAAGATGAATTAATGATTGTACAGAACGGCCACTCCTTGCAATCGAAGTGCGGAAGTGGAAACATGTAATATGGGACTTTTCCACCCCCCTCTTGGGCTATCAATTTTCAATGGGTCACGTGACCAGCTCCGACCAGTGTCTTTGCTTCCTAAGAGCAAATAGCCTGGGAACGAGGTTGATGTTATACTGGCTTCCTCAACTGTGACAAAAGATTCTATACATGATTCGTCCTGAAAGTTACAAACTGCAAAAGGATTTAGGCTTTGATGCTGTTGTTGATTAGGTTCTGTTGATGACGGGGTGATGTTAGTTCGGTCAAGTGTTGAAGTTGGCGAGACGCTTGGTTGATCTGAGTGATTAACGAAATTTGCATTACACAAGGCTATCATAGTTTTCAGCCCATTGCATAGTGATTCAATGGTATTGATAAGACCATTGTTCTCATTAGCCGTTCTAACAATACTTTCTGCAATGTTATTATTATTGCATTTTTGGTGTTGATGTTCTCGTTTGTGTTAACTAAACGATCGACCTGTTGAACAACTTCGCCGAGCTGATTTTGTATAATGGCGAATTCTGCCTGAACTTGATTTATTGCATCGCCATTGATTCGAATTTTGTTATCAATCTTCGACTCGGAGATCACCAAATCGAGTTTTAAGCCCTCGAATTCAGTCGACAATTCATTACACCTGCTTGCACAACGCTCTCCGCTCTGGTTAGGATATTGAGTGAATTCGATATCCGTCTGAATGCCCACTTCACATGTATTTACACTACAAAGATGATCGGTGGAACGGCGCTTGGCTGAAGTAGATTCGTGATAAAAATGTTTCATTAATGTACTCATTTGTTTGAGGTCTGACTTTATTTCGATCATATCTAACGAGAAACGACTGCAAATACCATGCAATCTTTGTCACCTTCTGGATCGTTTAATTGATTGTATTCGTCAGGATCTGATATTTTATTTACACTCAGATCAGTTAGTTTGTTCTTTAGTACAATTCCTAGTTGATCATGGAAGATTAGTGCTTTCTTGTGTATATACCAGTTAATAGATATTAAATCATTCCGATATGATTTAGCACCGCCACCGGGCGAACTCCACTTGCCGACATCGCCGAATAATGCGGACATAAAGGCTTTTAAATCATTCAAATTGCCCAGCCATTTCACCTTTCCATCGTTACTGCATTCTATAAACTCTTTATACATAAAGTAGACTTCGGAGAGTTTATATTCGAGCTTGATTTGTTGAGATTCAACGCTGTTAGTTAATTAAGTCATGAACGGTCGCCATTTTGATTATCGCTAAAGAATAGACAATTCAACATACGTATTACTTACTAATGTAACAAATACTAACAATATTAAAATATACTCTCAATTGATAATCTTGTGTTTTGCTTTAAAAATATTAACAGTTTCAGAATTTTTAATTTCTCTTTGTTGAGCGTCACGTTGAACTCTCTGAGACGATCCAGGCACGCAACGAGTCGCTCGTTGTGCTCACGCATGATTTTACCGTAAACTGAGATATCATTGACACCCGGAAGCCTTTGAGAGTACCATATTCATCGTTCGCTGTAGCCCGCGTGCAGGCCCAAGGGAACTGATAGTGGGCCTGCAAGCAAGGCCCGGTATTTTGTAAAACGCCCCTTTTCATAACACGCCCCATTCGCGCGTCAATTGTCAAAAAAGAACCAATGACAGCACCCAAATATTAACAAACAAACTCGCATTAAAATGTTGCGGGGTTTTCTCTGCTTATTCAGAACATAAACAATGTGTAAATGGCAGCGTTTTAACTCCAACTGAAAAGCAAGCAACGCAGTCAGTAATTGCCAAATTTGCAAGTGCTCATTTTCAACTAAAATCGGAACAGGCAAATTAGGACGAATTTCAACAGAAAATCAGTCTGAAACTTCAAATCGCGAGGGAAGTCGTGCGACCACATTAGCATTTATATTATGTGTGCTTCGCTGTCGCCATTGGCATTGTTATATATAAATAAATTGTCTCACTTATCAGATCGTGTGTGCAATTCTTGTTGGCGGCGGAAGTACGAAATTTATTTCAGTTATTTCATTTGGTAAAGAACTCTACAAAAGAAGAGAGCGTTCAGAGTCGAGATCGTTTCGTTTCAAACGGCAATTTAATACCGTCTTCTGTTTCGCTCTCTCAGCGAAGCCTTGTAAATCGCAAAGTGTTTCGAATAGGCTTACATGCAACTGCATCTCAACATCAACCAAAAGATAATTTTCTTGAGGAACATATAACGTATCAAGTCTGTTTGAAATTAGTGAAACTCAAGTAAAGATTACTATAGTTTACCCAAGTCATAATGTTGGTATTCCAACACCTCGCGACAAGCAATCCCCATTGACATAACGGCAAAAACATCTCTTCCTTCAAGTAAACAATAAACAGTCTGTTCTTGTTCCATTTATAATCGCAAAAAGTGATCAATTTTCGAATTTTGAGCTTATCTAGAGCCTTTGTGATGAATCACTGACCTAATTATAGAATCCAACAGCAAACAGCCAATCAGAATGCCGCGTTCGTGGGCGAACGCGGAAAGTAAAAAATACCGGGCCTTGCTTGCAGGCCCACTATCAGTTCCCTTGGGCCTGCACGCGGGCTACGTTCGCTGAAGAATTTCCGACACGTTGCGGAAGCCCATGACCACCATGGTGCACCGACGTAGACCCCTGGGTGTAGAGAACGAGGCATACTTTCTCGAATTGGGATGCAAGGGCAATAGGTGGAAGCTCTTATATAGATCCAATTTTGACCAGACTGTCCCAGCGTCCATTTCATCAGTTACCTCTTCAAAAGTTGGAATTGGGTGAATTTCACGTTCCACGTTTGCATTTACATCTCTCCAATCTTGCGTAATTCGTACCTGTCCTGGAATAGTCTTCGGCACTACGACCATACGAGAGACCCATGGGAGGGGGGGTCCAACTGCTGGTTCGATGATGCCAAGTGCTTCTTGAAGGTCCAGCTTCTTGTAGAGGGCTTCGCGAAGATAGACTGCGACCCGCGAGGGAGGGTGGACCAGAGGAATGACTTATGTTTTCATGTAAATCTCTATTTGGATGTTCTTCACTCGACCCAACCCCTCAAATACTTTGCTATATCTCGAAAGAATGTTCTTTGTTTTCAAGTGTTCGGGCAGGAGATGTTATGCCATTTTGCTCGGAGGCGATGCAGTCTCCTTAGACGTGGTAGGATTAGGCAGGTTTGGCGGATTGGTATTCATAGAATGTTGTCCCACAACATTCAGAGATCTGACATTAGGTGGTAGTCCCACGCGAAGAAGCTCAAGGTTAGTAGCCGAATCTCGGCCAAGCAAGACCACGACTTTATCCATTGATACGATAAAGTCCAGGGTGCGTCGTTGTCCAAAGACTTGGACATCAATGGCAGCCATATATACCCGCAATGTTCAAGGGATGCATTCTACATAGGAGTACATAAATATCGATGTGGGCTTGGGCTTAGAGCTTGGGTGCTTGATTTGGTTGAAGACATTCATCGGGAGAATGTTGACACTGGTGCCTGAATCGACCAGCAACCGGGTGGGTACTCCGTTTAAGGAAATTACAACTCGTGCGTTATTTCCTGCTGATACGAGTGGTTGAATGCAGAAAAGTTCTTCGTCACTGCTGTAGGCTTTGGCTTGCGAGACGGCCGTAACAGTATGAGTCGTTGTCTCTTCAAGTTCGTTAACTTTGCCGGTTCGTTGCCTTTGCATGCCTTGGCAAAATGGTTCTTTTTGCCACCACGACTGCACGTTTTGCCGCGAGCTTTCTCGCACTTACGATGACCGAGTTCACCACAACGATAACAAGAGAGTTGTGATTTTTGTTCCCGTTCGCGTTTTGCCCATTCTGGATCGTTCCCAGACCGTGTCGACCGCTGTGAGCGTCGGAGGTTAGAACGTTCCGGTAGAAGGTAGGAACGTCCGAGAGTATAGAAAGCTGCGGTGAGGGATCAACCTCGTAGTTGTTGTTTTCAATGGCCGCTGCCTGTGTATTGGCAGTTTCGAGTGATCGCGCTGTTTGTAACGTGTCTTGAAGCGAAATGTTAGCAACTTGGAGGTGTTTCAACCTTAATTTACTTCACTGGCAACAGGCTACGATTTGGTCTCGTATTAAACTGTCTATTTGGTCGCCGAATTCGCAAGTACTGGCCTTCATTCGTAGTCGTGTATGCCAGGAGTCGATACCTTCGTCCTCGCGTCGAATACATTGTCAAAATTCGTATCTCTCGAAGACCACGTTGTTACGAGACGAGAAATACTCGTTGAATTTGCTCACTAATGTGTCGAGGTCTGTGCGCGTTTCCGTGCGATTAGTTTCGGCGATATCCCGGATGTCACTGCCCGCACAATGCAATAAAATCGCTTGTTGCCGGCCTGGTTGATGCCTTTTGCTGCAAGATATATTCGAACCGTTTTCACGTATTTCTCCCATCTTCGAGATACGCCGTTCGGTTGAGAGTAGACGTCGAAGGGTGGATCATGAAAGGTTCATGGCTTAGACTTGGCGCGACAGAATTGATTTCAGCTGGCCGGGAAAAAGCAAATGTACACCCACAAATTAAAGTAAGTGATTTATTAATCTCAATAGAAGGAAACGCTAGTGCTGGCTGACCAGGTCTTCTGTAAGTCTAGATTGGAGGCGGGCACTGCCGACTACGTCATATGTAATGATCTTTACAGTATAAATATTTAATCCCATTAAATAGCATGAATAAGTTAAAGTCTAACACAACTGTTCTAGTATAAGTTCTCACACGTGTTCCCTGTCCGTGGGCGCATATAATTGTCCAGCGGCCACACGCACTACAGTATCTACATTTACCATGAATGATTTTAATTCTAATAAAAAGACTATAAATAAAACTTTGATTTAAAGTCTCACAATTCACCCGGAAACTAGTTGACAGCGAGTAACAGCTACACTGTAGCTCCGTGACAAAATGCTGACTAAGTGTTATACAGTACAGGGTTTTGAGCACCGTGAAAAATGCTGAATAAGTGTTATATAGCTGCAGGTATTCTATTTGCATTATTTAATATTCGTTTAGAACTTTTTGCGAATTAAACGTAGCTCGCAATTTTCATGTGTGACTCGCATGCTTTGGTGTCTCGATAAAGCATTGCAATACTGAATGTATAATTAGGTAATTTGTAAAACATGGAATCTGAAATCTTGGAATCTTATCATAACCGAAAATATGCTATTATCAAGATATTATTATTATAGTTATGCAACATATTATTCTGGGATC